AAGATTATGAAAAGTCATTTTCTTTTGAAAAAAAGTGATGTTTGCACACCCCCAATATAACTTTTTAAACACAAATCTAATTGGTTTGTATAAAAAAAAAATCATAGGAAAATTAAATATATGAAATGGGTTAAACATGAAGGTCTGGTTAAGGGTTGGGTTGCACTTGAGGGAAAACTCAAATATAATTGTTTTGTTTATAGTACACTATATATACAAGTGCTATATGAATGAAACAAACAAAAAACCATATAAATATAAATTAAAACAGTTATATTACATAACATACATAAGCTTAAACATATGAACATACACACTACAGTGCCGGATCAAAGGGGGGGGGCTAGGGGGACTATAGCCCCGGGCCCCGCAAATTTAGGGGCCCCCAAAAATTTTAGAGGATTTTTTTTTTTTTTTAAGTCATTTTTAGGCTCTGGCCCATAAATAGACCTCCAATAACAAAATAGCCCCGGGCCCCAAGAAGTCTTAATCCGCCACTGACACACTATACATAAAGTTTCTAATACGTGTAAAAGTGAAATATTGGTATGTGATAACAACAAATATAAACAACTAAATTTAATTGTGTTGAAATAATGCAAGAGATCTTTTCCCAGATAATAATGCCATGACTACGTAATGCAGAGTACTACTACTCAAAAGATCCCACACACCATAAATGCCACCATCACACACCATAAATGCCACCATCACTACTTTATTAAAAAATTTTATATTTTTTTGTAGTTATTTCTCAACTATTTTTATTTTTTATAATGACTCATTTTGCCTTATATTGTTTTGAACATGTTTATCAACAGTCATAAAGTCAGTTGAAGAATTATTTGACCATTTAGATTTTGCATATTTCTGTTGGTAAATCAGTCTTTTTCATATTTGATGTTTAATACATTTAACTCATTTTATTCTCTGCTTGTTCAGATAAATCAGCATCAATGCTTAGTTAAATAGCTTTTTCCACTTCTTTTAGGGTCACAATATCATCGTTCAATTTATCTGTCTGTGATGCTAAAAAAAAAAGAAACTATTTGTAACTAATTCCAAAATACAAAAAAAACAACAGTAAAATAAGATTAGATTTATACTAACTTTAAAAACTCCTTTAATAAATTAACAATGAAAATTAATAAAATTAATTTTATGCATATTTGAAAAAAATTATAAAAAAAATGAATAAACTATCATCATCAACACACAATAACAAAAAAAAAAAAAATAGTGTTTGTATATATGCTTATTGCTAATTAAAAAATATGTATGAGAGATTAGCAGTTGGATAAGAAAAATTGTTAATTGTTTTTGCTAACTCAAGTAATTTTTGATAATTTTTGGTAATTGTGTATTCTGTTAATTTAGTAAGGAAATCACTAACCTTTTGTTAAATTAAGTTTAGAAAAGACTTTAAGACTTTCCTACAAATTATCTAAATGTAATTGGAATCATTCAATTCTAAAATGATTGATTGAGCGTATGGTTTCATTTTGATTTATGGTTTGCTAATTCGAAGTAAGTTTTTCTTTGCCACAACTTTAAAAATAAAATATACTAAATAAACAAAACTGTAAGTGTACTGTACCAAGTTTTTCAATCTGCTTGGGCTGCCAATTCTACAATATCAATGTGTTACAATATTTTTGTTCCACGAATAAATAAAATTCAATGAAGAATGACACAATGATGATGACTAAGCTTTAGTTAAAGGCATATAATAAGATTAAGATTATAACTTTTGAACTGAATCATATTTTATGCTTTTAACATTTACTTGTAGGTACGTGGAAATTCGTGTTTTACGGGACCGAATTTTGTGCTAAAAAACTGTGCCACGTTTTTTAGATTTTTTTTTTAGTTAGTATAGTGAAGACGTATTTAGTTGGAAAACTTTTAAGAATTTGATATCAACATAGATTATTTTTAGAAACTAGAAAAGTTAAACTTTATTACTGTTAAATTTATTATTTTACTAGATGGCTTTATTATTAAGCTTTTTGATGTCTAAAACTTTGTTGTACTTTGGGTATGAAATTAATGTTAAATATATATGGTCTTTTTTTTTTCTATTCTATAAACATCTTCAAACAACTGTTATAATATTATATTAAAACTCTTTCTATTTCTTTTTTCCTTATTCTAGGAATAAAATAAAGCAACCTTTGCAGAACCTGCACATTGGTTCCACATCTAAAACTTTTCCAGTGTCCATTGGTAATGCAGGAAAGACACCGTTTAATGATGAAAAGCCTCTTTTTTGCCAAGTACCATCGCATGACACACCAATATCAAAAACATCATTATTAGCATCATGTTTTCGCAATTCTGCTCTGCATCAAACATGGTATCTTCAGCAATTTTTTGTGTAACAGAACTTATTTTCACAGCTAATTTATCATAATTATTTTGTGTCATTGGTTGTGGCATATTCATTAAAGTGGTAAATTTTTCTATACCAGAATGTCCCTGTCCAATTGAACGCATTGCGTATACTGTTCTACAATAGTTATCATATGCTCTGTTACATTGTTTTGAAGTATAAAACTCATTTTCATATTTGCAGTTATAGCACTTGATAATAAACTTTGAGGCAAGTCCTTTTTTGTCTTGAATTTTTTCGGACAATGACAAGGATAAACATTCACCACATTGAGGACATGCTAAAGCACTAATTATGTGAGATAATATAGAGCAATCTATAATCCTATATCCAGATATTTTCATTCTTGTAAAAGCTCTTGAACATTTAATTGGCTTTACCTTTTTCGCAGATACAGGTGTAGAAAATAAATTTAACTCAGATTCGTTATTTACAGAGTTGTTATTGACAGTTGTAGTATTTTAATCAGTCAAAATTGTTACAGCAGGGTTATCATTCAACCTTATTTCAGTATTTTCTTTGTCGAGGCAGTTAAATTTCTTCCCTAAGAAATCTTTTCTCTTTTTTTTAATTATTGTTCTTGATTTTATTCTACAGACTCTTCTCATTTTTTAAAAAATATTAATAATGATGAACCAGACTATTTTCGCTATCTGGATGAGTAAAGAAGCCAAACCAAGCATTTTACTGTAGCTATTTTAAAATACACATTAGTTATTAGGATTTTTATTAAGGTGCTTCACCGTTGCTATGGGCGTTGTTAGGGTATAAGTTTTGAGTTACCTTAAGAAAATACAAAATTTGAAAACCTAAATGATAAAAATCAGTATATAAACAAATACTTTTTAATTCTGCATACATTTAAATGCATAAATAAGTAAAAATATTTTTTACAAATTTTGAGTAAAATTAGAGGGCGTTTCCCCCTTAAAAATCCAACTATAAATTAAATACTTTTTTGGGGAGGGAGATGTCCACACTCACAACCCCCTTAAAATCGCTCTTCTCCGTCACACTAGTTGCGAATAACGGAAAATATTGTTAAAAAATGGTGTTGAAATAAAATAAAGGAAAATGGAAGCGCCTCGTTTGTTAAACAAGTACTATTCAACTGTTACCACTTAAACTTGTTTTTATTGGAAACATGTTTTTCTTATTCTACTTCTATCGGTAATAGTAGAACTAGAAGTCGACTAAAGTTAGTGAATTAAAAAGTTACTCGACTAGTTTTGTTTTAACTAAAGTCAGTCAACTAATATATGTAAACTAAAAATTAGTTGCGCAACATTGCTTATTACAATTGGCATTTTTGTTTATCTTTCATGGCTTTGTAAAATGGTTGTAAGTGGTTGTTAACACTCTGAAATTGCCAAAAATAAACGAATGTAAAAAATAGAAGTAATTTGAAGCTACTTTTAAATGCTTGACCGCAACCTTTAAATTGCTCTAACACCGGCTTTGTCTTTTTTTTTGTTATTTAGGTGCCCCAAAGACCTAACGGTTTTGTCGCAGAGCACCGCGGAAGTGCATTAAACCCAGGAAGTTCACACCTTCTTCTTTACCGTGACGCAAAAATATGTCCAAAGCTCGTTTCGAACCTAGATTATAAAGTTTATAAAGTTGTATACCTATAAAGCAAGCGCTCTAACCACTGCACCACGGCCGCACGTCTTAGTAATGTATTGATTTTTAAAAATCACCATTTTTTGCTTTGAAAAATAAATACCATTTTTTATTTCGAAAAATTTATTTCTCGATTTTTCATAAAATGACGTATGGAATGAATCATTTTCAAAATGACAAACTTCAAACGTATGTTTGCAATTTGCTTTGAGCTTAAACAACTTTTCTATGCCCTTGGTTTTTATCATTAAAGAGATCGTCCGTAAATTATGCAATGCTAAATTTAATTAATAGAAGAAAAAAAAAGATAACTAGTTCATTCACTCGCAAAGTCACTAATTAAACTAAAAACGAAAATAGCAACTTTCAAGCTTAATGAAAACCGCCGCGCAAAAGTGCAATGATCTCCTACTTCTATATTTAAATAAGTTGAGCATTGCGTAATTTATGAACGATCATAAAGACTAAACTACAAAATTAAATTTACTATACTTAATATACTTATACTAGAAACACGTTTTGAATTTTGAAAATCAAAAAAAGAAGCTCTAATGTGTGCCAATTATACTTGTATTTATTGAGCAAATGATTTATTTTTAAAATAGCTAACTCCTTTTAACAGGTTATTTCGCAAATTTTTTAAGAAAGCAACTTATAGTTTTAACTTTTCTTAAACAATTTGTCTTAAAAATACGTCAGCATTATCCGATTATCTCCGCGCACACTAAAAATGTCGCGTTTTGCAATATCTTGGTTAGTTTATATTAAATATAAAGCATTATGGGAAATAATAAAACTGTTTGCATTTTGTTTATTTTTTTAAATTTTACTTTTAAATTATACTTCAAAAATTTATCATATTAGCTTTTTATTTTGGAATAAAAAGTATTTCTTGATTTAATATTTTGATTGTGTGTTTAAATTCATGATTAAAATGTTTAAATTCATTTCTATATGCAAATGAGATGTTAATCATGACGTAATAAAACTTATAAAACAAAATAAACTTTCTGTTTAATCAGATACGGAAAAAATCTTTTGGAATAGACATGGTCGCGCAAGTGTTTTTAACATTGCTTATTACATCGTTTGTATTTGCATCTCAAGTAGATGTAAATTTGGTTGTTCCAGATGCCGATAATGTAAACGAGTTTTTATCAGTTAAATTGTCTAAAATTGGAGAGAATGGCAACAAAACTGGTGTTGATGTTACGGTAAAGGTTTTTATTAGCTTTGGTAGTAAATTACAAACAGTTTTTCAAAAATATTTGAAAAGTTATATTACTAGTATGTTGTAATATATATCAGAGTTTCCACTCAAAATTAAAAAAAAAAAATTAGCATTTATTACTACTAGCAAATATTTTTGGCATTAAATACATTCTAGTTTTTCTAACAATGATGCTCAAAACACACATTTTTCAGTTTTTCAGCATGTTTTTCAAAACAGCCCTTTCCAGTTTTTCTATAAGAGTGTGTGTGTATGTGTATATATATATATATATATATATATATATATATATATATATATATATATATATATATATATATATATATATATATATATATATATATATATATATATATATATATATATATCTGTGTGTGTGTGTGTGTGTGTGTGTGTGTGTGTGTGTGTGTGTGTGTGTGTGTATATATGTAAACATAAGCTAAAGTAAAGTAAATATTGATAATTATCACCTAATTTTAGGTTGAATTAAGGATTCATGTTATTGATGGTAATGTTCACTTAAATGGAAATAAAATGGAACATAATACTGTAAATGCAGTACATATAAAGCTCACCATAGGTTTGTTTACAGTTAAATATACTTGATTCAAAATAAAAATATTAAAAAAATATAGTTAAGATTGATTACAATAAAAAGAATTTTTTTATATTTTTAAACAATATATGCTATAGTTGAACTTCAAAATGGTATTGCCAGTGACCCAAGATTGGCACCTGTCCATTTACGCGTTCTGGTAATAGAAAGAGTCAATATGGAAGGAAGGATAACATTATTTGTAGAAGAGGAATTTATTTCTATTGATAATTTAAAAGTTGAGCAAGTTTATGTGCATCGTGTAGGGTGGGAAGATATGGTTAAAAGACCTACAGAACAAGTGCCTTTAGCAAACTCAGACATTCATCAAAAACCAATGGAAAATGATATGCATAAAAATTGTAAATTCTACATTAGTTTTTTGCATTATATATAAATTAAACATATATGCTTTAAAAATGAACATAATATAATTTAAAAAATTAAAATAACATAGATCCATAATAAATTATTATTATTAGATCTTGGAATGCCACAATATCCAGATGAACATGGTTTTAAATACGAAGAAAATGCGGTACATTTTACTTGAACAAATTGTTGTTGTTGATTCATTTACATTTTTTAATTTAATTTTTTACATTTTAGATGCTCAGTTCCTTTTTTTCATATCATTGGTATGAATGCCATGAAAATTGCATGCACTTTCACTGCAACAAAAGTAAACATGAAAGCTATCACCATCATGAAAAAAATCATCACAATCATGGTTTTTGGCATAAAGTTAGCTGCTGGTACCGATGTTTGAATTTCAGATCCAAAATTGCATTGTACTCTGTTTCTTTTTTGACATTGATTGCAATATCTTTATGTTGCTGTATGTGCATAAGAAAGAGAAGAATGGCTAAAGTAATTTTTTGTTTTTTTAAAGTTTTGATTTTTTGCAGCACAAACAGTTTTTTCAATAATTTTGCTATGTATTTTTAGGTTTTGCTTTTAACCCAGACACCAATGAACAACTCTGTTGAAGTGAAAGATGGTAATAAAGACGAGAAGAAAAATAGCGATGAAAGTTTTGACTTTCATTTTCAATTTGATCATGATGTTGTCGTGAGCGATAAAGAAAAGTTAATTGCTTAAGACCGTTTTAAAATGCTTTTTTATTTGTAATATTTTGTTTAGATATTAAGCACTAATGTTTATATTTCTATAATAAAGTTTAAAGCGACATAGTTGCGAGAATTTTAGTGTTAAAGTAAAAACCAAATTCGATAATTTTTTTCTTTTATTGTAAGATTATGTATAAAGTTTTTGTATATATTATTTGTATTGACAAAATATTTGTGGAGTTTTAATTTGTATTATTTGAGTTATTTATAATTTAAAACACTCATTCAACATCTTGTATGCGGAAATAAAATATTTATTTGTTTTTTAAATTATTGTATTGAAGTTTAATTGGGGTTTTATTATTTTTTTATGCACTTTATTACTTTCATTTAAGTGTCTTTTTTTTGTTGCTAAAAATATATTTTTACGAACAAGTGAAGGACACATATTTGTCTTTAGGCATTTTCAAAGCAAGTAAAAAATGTTTTCTTAATTTCTTATTTAAAGTCATTAGTAGTTTGCTTCATTTTACATCATGTGCAAGTTCACAAAAATCGTTAACAAATATTTGATCGAAACATTTTCATTTAAACAAAGATCAGTAAGACCGTAAAAAAAATATTTTTTTTTACAGTAATAAAATATAAATTACATTTTTTCATTAATTACGACAAAATAGGCGCAATAGCAAAAAATACAATAAAGTTTAAATTAGTTAACAAAAGGTCAAAAGGTTTAACAAATTTTAAAAACAAACGGCGTTATATAAAGATTTTATATGGTAGTTATCAACGGTGGCGACCACATATGTCCAGACATTTTCTGCCGACACAAAATATGTCAAACATATCGACATTTTGACATAATTTTATGTCTGAACTTTTTCCTGTCGACATATAAAATATATTTTTGACATAACTTTATGTCTGAATTATTTTCTGTTGGCATAAAATATGTGTGACATAATTTGACATTTTTGACATATTTTGACATACTTTGAGAAAATGTTTATGTTTTGAGAAATTTATGTCTGATATATTTTCTGTTTCTTTTTTGCAATCAGGTCCTTACTGTGAAAGTTCTTAGGGGATGGTTACCTTTTGAAAAAAGAAACTTTTGAATAGCAAATATAGATTATGCTGAATTTTTATACTAAAATTAGTGTGAAATAATTAGAACTTAGTAAAAATGGTCGATCGCACCCGAATACTCTTCCACAATACGGACACGATGATTCATAATTTTTTTTATTGAAAACCCTAAAAACCAAACGATATTTTCAGCTATTTACCTTTTGAATATTTTTTATATATTGAAGTGATCCCTTATTAAAATGTAAAAACAATCTGAAACTTAGTTTTTTATCTTTAGTTGGTAGTAAAAATAGTTGTTTTTTGCAAGTATGACTAAATATAAGAAAAAAGAAAAGTTTAAGTTATTTTTAAATAAAAGTTGAACCTCAAAACTTATAAATTTAAAACTAAAAAATTATTGAATTATTTTTTCGGTTAAACTATAAATAATAATAAAAAACAAGCTATTTCAGATATTGCGTCATTTAGTTGCTTCATTTAATTTAGATTTTGTTTGTTTACCTCGTAACTGGTTTAGTTATGTTTCTTTTGTTACTTTTTTCAATTCAATAAAAAAATAACGATTGTAAAACAAGTTACTTGACAATGCCTTTTAAACGTTATGTTGTTACAAGAAGTATTTATTTAAACAGCCAAAATTTAATATTTTCGTACGGACATTATATTTGTACAATATATCTTAATTCCCACTTTATTTTATGACCTTATATATATAAACTTTATTTTAGGACCTTATATTATTGGGCAGTGGCGGGTTATCACTTTTAAGGGTCCGGGGCTATTTTGTTAGAAATCTTTTTTATTTGCTATAGCCTAGAATTGACTTAAAGGTCCGGGCTATAGCCACCCCCTAGCCCTCCTTGATCCAGCATAGTTATAAGGTCATAAAATTAATTTAAATAGATCATTAAATAAAGTGGGAATTAAAAACTTTATCAAACTTTAAGAAAATGGACGTTGTGGGTCATGTTTTCTAATCGCAATATTTTTCAGCTAAAAAATAAATAACGATAATAAAACTAGGTACCTCAGACATTCCGGCTCTATTTAGCAAAGTATATTAGGAAGACTAAGAACCTTTAACTAATTTTTATTTATTATGACTTATTAAATCATAATAAATATTATTCACATAATTACATAATTAACTGCTAAAAATTGAATAAAATGCTTTGAGTGAAATATGCATTGAACTAATTATTTCTGTCTTTTTTTGGGTGCTTTATTCACTGTTCCGAGTTACATCATTAACTTATGATAATTATTAGGGATGTACAGAAGCTTCGGCTTCGGTTCGGCCGAAGCCAGGTCAATTTTTTGCCGAATCTTTGGCTTCGGCTAAAAATTTTAAGTAATTAATGTTATAAGCTACTGTTGTACAAGTTATAAAAATACGCTAATTGCCAGTGTGTAATTAAGTTATAAATTCAGGAGTTAAAGTTGGAGTCTATACCATATATTTACTCCCAAGTGTCTTGTTATGGAGGGGATAATAATAAATAAGCAAAAATATTTTGAAAATAATAATAAAATTAGGGAAGGTCCTCATATACTTTGAAGGGTTCCAAGTATGACTTTAGATAAATCAGCATTTCTCTGCAGAAAAAAATCCTTATAATTTAAAACAAATAAAAAATTTTTAAAAATAAAATGGAAAAAAAAACTTAATTTGTATTATGTAACGAATTAAAGATACGTTGCTATTATTTTAAATTGTGCGTATGTTTAATTTTTTAAAATTTTATTTAACCATATTTATAAAAATTTACAAATTTTCATCGTAAATTTACAGAAATTGGTTAGGTGTCACTTATATAGATAGAAACTAGTCAATCGAGTGACAAAAAAAACATAAAGTTCTCAGCAACAAAAAAATAATAATAATAATAATAATAAAAAAAAAATAAACAAAATGTATATATACATATATATATATGTGTGTGTGTGTGTGTATGAGTGTATGTGTATATGTGTATATATATATATATATATATATATATATATATATATATATATATATATATATATATATATATATATATATATATATATATATATATATATCTATATATATCTGTGTGTGTGTGTGTGTGTGTGTGTGTATGTGTATGTATATATATATTTATGTATGTGTGTGTATGTATGTATATGTATATATATGTATATGTTATATATATATATATATATATATATATATATATATATATATATATATATCTGTGTGTGTGTGTGTGTGTGTGTATGTGTATGTATATATATATTTATGTATGTGTGTGTATGTATGTATATGTATATATATGTATATATATATATATATATATATATATATATATATATATATATATATATATATATATATATATATATAACAGTAGAAATAGTAATTACAAAGCTAATTACAAAAAATTATTTCTAATTTTACTTAATTAACTTTTTATATAGACATAGATATACGCCAAACGGCGCTATTAAGGGAATCTGCGAAAAGATTTTTTTTGGAGTTTTATACCCAAAAATGCTGAATCTTCTTTGATTTCCTTTTTTTTTTAGGTATTAAAATATAGAAAAAAATAAACATATATATAATAGTTATTATACCAGAATTTATATTAAGTTTGCATCAATACTATATTAATGTATCAAACTTATATTAATGTATTTTTATCAATCTGATACGTAATAATTTTATATATATTTCTTTTTATCACGATAATAAATGTATATTTTATATGGTATACCTGGAGAAAAAAAATAAATAAATAAATAAAAGCAAATGAAATATAAATGAGGAGAATAAAAAAAGTCAACAAAAACTAGATAAATTAAAAGAAAAAAAAAACAATAATAATAATTATCCTTGCTCTTTTATTAACATTATGAATTCTTCTAAATTGAATTTATATATTAAACATGTAAACCAATATTCTGGTTTCTTCTTATGATATTATGAAGACTTTTAAATTTTATTTAAAATAAATTAACGGTTGAAGCTTTGATTACTTTGAGCTCTTATATTTATCATCAAAATTTATTTAAATTAAATAAACAATTTAAATCAAATAAATATCAGCCTGCTCAGTCCCTGTTTATTTATAAATATAAAGTAAATAATAATATAATTATAAATAAAAAATTTATAAAGTATTCTATTTATTATTTTATTTAAAGCTCACTCTACAGAGTTGTTAGATTACTATAGAAGCTTTTATCACAGATAGTTAATATTTGATTTCAGATACTGATGCAGATTTATCCATTACAGAAACAGAAGAAGAATGAATAGATTAAAAGAAGCTAAAGAAAATGTTATGTAGTGTAAAGTTAAAAATAATCAAAAAAATACAAACTTAAAAGTGTGTAAAAAAGAAGTCAGAGAGAAATCTATCATTTGTACTTTTTTTTAGCAGCAGGTTCACAACAGTTGTAGTGGAATAAAAAATGGTCTTAATTTGGGTTTTTTTTAGTTTAGAAGTTGTTCGTTTAATGAATACAGAGAAGTAAAAAAAAGATATTGAAATAAATAGCAATAAAAAGATAAAGTGTGTTTGTAAGATTTTTTATGTTGTAGATACAACTAGATCAGCTAAGAGTGTTTATTTGAAGAAAGAGTGATCAAGTGCCAAAGATGAATTTACTTTAGTAATGTTCAGAGATTTTTATCCACTTCTATTAACAAAAGGTGAATTAAAAATAAAATATACAGCACAGGAAAAGATGCTATATAAAATTAATATGGTATGCACGCAGAAAAAGTAGAACTAGAAGTAGGAAAATTTGGGGAGATTATTTCAAAAAAGCTTAACTTTAAAAAAAATATGCTCGGTGCGGTCAATTATTAGAAACGAGATAATGAGAAACTTTCAAACAGGGGCGCTGAGAGCTTTTGCCCTGCCTGGGACAGCAACCCTGACTGGTGTCCTCATTTTTATACGATTTTTCTATATTATTAGTCAAGGACCTTAGTTTTGGTACCTTTTTTGTTTTACACCCCTGCTGATCTAAATGGATAGCGCAACTCTGAACTGGATAGCGCAACTCTGAACAAAATTTTGAATTTTTTGACGCCAAAATCGCCATATTGGAAAGCCCCAGATATTTGAATAAGTAAGCCTTTTAAAAAATGAGTAAGTAAGCTTTTTAAAAAATTAATTTATTATTTTCATTTTAAAAAAACCTTTAAGTAAGCCTTTGGCTTAGTTTTTCGACTAATCGCTTTAAATACAATATCAGATTTCAGCTAAGTTGAATATACAATAATGTGCGGATTAAAAAAAGATCTTTTGAGGTTCAGAGT